AGAGAGAGAGAGATAGAGAGAGAGAGAGAGAGAGAGCAAGAGAGAGAGCGAGAGAGAGACACACACACACACACACACACAGAAATGGAGACATATTTCAGGGGAAAGTGAGTGAGAAAGAGTGAGAGAAATAGGGACATATTCGGGGGGGGGAGAGAGAGAGAGAGAGAGAGAGAGAGAGAAATAGAGACATATTCGGAGGCTCTATCACATCTGGAATGCGCACGACAACTGCATTCCAACTTGGAAAGTTCGTCTGTCTGTCTGCCTGCCTGCCTGTCTGTGTCTGTCTGTGTCTCTCGCTCTTTCTCTCTCTCTCTCTCTCTCTCTCTCTCTCCCTCTCTCTCCTTCTCTCTCTCTCTCTCTCTAAGACTGTCAGGGGACCTACGTAAGCTGAAGCTTCATCAATCTGCATTTTAAACTCGGATACTGAGCCAGGGATAAATGTAAAAAAGGTGGATAGTTGCTGCATAATCTGTATTTAAGTGCGCTAATGATCGCCAAACTTCGTGCCCATGGTGTCTCCGGCTCCCTACTCGCCTGGATAACTAGCTACCTCTTGGACCGAAATCAGTGCGTCACAGTAAATGGAACCTTATCTGACCCCGCGTCTGTGACATCCGGAGTGCCCCAGGGCTCCATTCTAGGTCCCCTGCTCTTCCTCACATACGTTAATGACCTCCCCTATTCAATTCCCAATATTTCTTTGTTTGCAGATGATACCACTGTCCTTGCTTCCTCCCCATCTCACGCCACCCTGTACCCCAAAGTTCAGACGTGTATCAACGACATTGTTCACTGGATGAGCACTTGGTACCTTAAGCCAAATGTGACCAAAACCGAGCTCCTCCTTTTTCCCCCTCCCACAGATCCAGTGCCCATCTTCCACTTTCCCGATGATCCCGGTCACCCTATCTCTGTAGCGCCCCACCATAAATACCTTGGCATTGTCATAGATTCCGCCCTCTCCTTGTCTCACCATGCTGATCATGTGTCGTCCAAAGTATGCCGATCTGTCGGCATAATGTCAAGTCACTTGTCCCATTTGCCCCAAAATTGCCGGAATAATTCATAAATCATACATTCTTCCCCTCTTCACGTACGGCTTTCCTGCCTGGTCCACCATTAACAAAACCCAAATAGGTAAATTAGAAGTTCTCCATCGCCGTATACTGCGCATCATATTTCGTACTGATCGTTATATCTCAAATCTAGACTTGTATGCTGCTGCATCCACTACCACTCTGCAACATTACCTTGATGCTTCCAAGTGCACCCTGGCACATTCAATTTTTCTTGACCAGCACCCTGCTCATTTATTGGTTCAATTCAGGTGGCACCACCCGAAGCTGCGTTCGTCTCCCCCCTAGCTAGGTCTACCCTATTCGTAAATTACTCTTTCTTTTCCTCCTACTCCACGTGGCTCCAACTGCCTCCCAGTGTTAGACAAGCTCCAGATATGCCCAAATTCCGTACCCTCGTCAGACAGCACTTCAGTATCTCCCAGTAAACAAAGTCACAGTCCCCACTTCCGCTGCATAGCTCGCTGAGCATCCCATTGCTTTGTAAGTTGCTAATCCCTTCCCACTTTGTGTACGTGCTCTTCATTTTCTTTTTTTCTCTTCTTCCGTGGTTGGTCTCACCCTCTCCTCAATTAAATTGGCTGTCTTGACATGCCACGAGGTGCAGAAATAAATAAATAAATAACAGGGCACAAAACTGACATGTTACTGTGACATTTAACGACCTGAGACCTAGCTCTCACACACCTCCAGTGCGCAAACCAACAGCCTTCCAGCTTGGAAGGTTCCAGGTTATCGTAAGACCAATGCGGGGAAGGTGAGCAGCTGTTATCGCACTTTCTGACTGCTTATTATCTTGTCACAGTCGTGGATAGTTG